TAATTTAACCAACACACCCGCTAACCCAGAATCTGAAAGTTAGAGGACAGCTGAGAAGCATGTTGGGGCCATGCCAGGAAGGATTGTGACTACCAGGCTTTGAGAATTTAGATTTCATTTCTCCAGGTAATGGATATCCAATAGGTTTTAAGAGCTTGGGGTTTAGGAGTGACCTGAGAGAAGGTGGGGAAGTGCTTCTGGAAAATGAACCTGGCTATATTTACTTAAGCTCTTGGCTGCAAGTCCCAGAACTGTGACCTGCAGTGGCCTAAGTAAAACATCATTATCAGTTCATGTGATAGCAAATCTGGACATAGGTTTTGGTAGTGTGGCAAGGCCTGGATCTCCTGATGTAGCGTATAAGTGCCACACAATACCTGGCATTGTTCACTTAACAAGCAAAGAGAGTTTTTTAGCTCCAAGATCAGGTGGCACCACTGGTTAGACTGTCTGGTGAGGACAGCTGACAGCAACACTTGGTATTGGAATCCCATGGAGGGGCAAGCATAGGTCTAAGCAGAGCAAGGAGAATGGAGAGGCTCCCATAATCCCTTCAAGCATGCTCCAATGACCTACAGACCTCTCACAAGGCCCCACCTCTTAAAGGTCCACAGCGCTTCTTCCTATTTTCAGACTGTTATCAAAGCTTCACTTAGGATCCTTGGGGGACTAAATGATGACTACCACCCAGACAACAACTGGTCTTCCATCAGGCTTCTTTCATAAGTAGGAGATATCTAACAGAGAAAATGAAATACATTTTTCCTGTCTGGGCCAGGAAGATGTCTCAGCTGGTTAAGGCACTTGCCACCAAGCCTTATGACATGTTTGATCCCAGAGGCTTACATGGTAAAGAGAATCAACTTCTGCAGAGAGAGAGAGAAAGAGAAAGTGAATAAACTGTAATAAATAATAAAATTTTTTTAAAAAAAGAAATCAAGCCCATATATCTCCTTATTCTGGTGTCTCCACCTGGGATAAAAACTCACCTCAGGGCTAATTAGGGCAGTCACAAACCAGAGGGCATGGTTGGGTGATTGCTGGGTCTAGGAATGTGGTTGATCATAAAGGTCTAGCTGGTTCAAAGCCCTTCAGGAGTCTCAGGATTGGAGGGGGTTAACAGGCTATATTCTCTACACTGTGTTGTGCCAAATCTAGAGCCATGGTCAAATCAGTGATGGACACGCGGTGCTTGGCAGCCTATGCAGGTTAGACTGCTCACCCCATTAACCTCTGGATGGGCTTGTCAACTGGATTCCTCTCCTGAATTAACTCAAACATTGAAGAGATCGACAGTGAGAGACTGGGACTAAAATAACTGTCTCTATGGTTACAGTGGTATCAGAGGCTAGGGCAAACACTCACCCAAAGTATTAAGGGGAAAAACAAAAACAAAAACTTCATACACACACACACACACACACACACACAGAGAGAGAGAGAGAGAGAGAGAGAGAGAGAGAGAGAGAGAGAGATACATAACTTTTTAGTATGGTGTGTAACTTTATTTTGAAAACACTCCCCCAAGAGGTAAGGTGGCAGTTCATTAAAGTCATAAGAAATGTACAGGACTTGGGGGGCTCCTCCCTGAGACTATGCATATAGTCTATATGCATAGCAATTGCAGGGGCGAGAGGACTCTTTGCTGCAGTGACTGTCTGCACATTATGCAGGGAACTCCAGTGACGCTACCTTTCTGACACCCAGACTCCTATGAAGTAACCCCATCAAAGTGTTGGTTCACTAAGTTAAACTTGAATGGATCATTTCTTCAGGCTGTCAGTGACCTCTCTATCAGGTATGAATAGGTTTCTGTGCATCTCCCTAGAAAAACTAATTCAACACACATGCACACGCACATACATGTGCACATAGCGAGTAACAAGCAGTCTCTCCTTCAAGCTTCCCATGTTGCATTACTTTGGATATTTCTACATGAACCACTTTTCCTAAGGAGACTTCAGGAAATCTTCATAGCCCCAAGAGCGAAGAAAGCACTACCCAAAACACAGAAGAGCAGGTGCTGGCTTCTTTGCAAGCCTCCAGCAAGCCCCATCACCCTGCTCTTCTCTACACAATTGTCCAGTGGGACTGGAAATCCATTAGTACTTTTCCACTCTGGTGTGCCAACAAAGGGGGAAGGGAAACAAGAAAATCAATTTTCCTCAGCCATCAGTATGATAGCGTTGCTGTGCTCTGAACTCATGAGGAGGTGGCAGTGTGCACTAAATCCATGTCAGGGCTCCCCAGGAGACCCGCTGTGCAGGCTCTCCCAGTAATCACTACTTCCAGTTGTTTCCCAGCAGGGCATGTTGGAAGACATGATCAGGGTGACAAGAAGAAATGCATACATCCTCCCCTGGAATGTACTCTGTTTCCCTTGCTTCCTGGTGTCAAAGGTGCTGCTTGCATGGAATGCCACAACTTAAAAAAACAAAGAGGAAGAAGGAAAGGAGAAGGGAAGGATATGGAGACCTGCCCTGTCACCTAGAAAGAAATGTGTTGTAATAGACAGGGAGTAGGTGGATTAAAAAAGGTCCCACCTGCATTTCCTTACCAGAAGTAGATGCATTTTATATAGGTAAGGTGATGGTGTATGTACATTCGGCAGTCACTTTTGGAGTCATCCAGAGACCCACTAAGAATCAGGGGTGGAAACAGCTGGTGTGGGCTCTCAGCAGCATAGTGTAACACGCTGGATGACTTGGGGCTATTAATTTGCCTAATCTAAACCTCCCTCCACAGAACCCATTAGAATAGCAGCCTTCTTTCTATTCATACAGTATTTTTCCATTTTCCTAAGTGATTCCCTGTGCACTCATGGTTCCTTGTAAAAACACTAAATTAATTCAGCCAAGCATTCCCGTACTACCTTGTGGACCACAGGCAGAGGACTACAGTCGGCAGGAAGTAAGACGCAGTGTTCCTCAGCCACAGTAAGCCTCATCAAATCAAGCAGCACAGGCTTGCAAAACCACAGGGCTCTTTTCTTGGCAGTGAGGCCCAGGTGGGTGACCATTTAAATTGTATTCTACTGAGAGTCACCAGGGTGGTGTGTGTGACTGCTCCAAACCGTGTATCTGGGGAACAGGAATCTAAGTGGCCCACAGTGGATATGGCTGGAAGATGCTGTGCTATGCAGGACAGCAGCTGACAGGATTGGATCTCTGCCCTCCTCTCCCATACACGACAACCAATGCCAGGTGCTGCAGTTTGACCAGCATCTCACAAACAACAGAGCTTACAGAGATACTTCCACGTGAGACAAGGACCTCACCCTGTCTAACAAGGATATCCAAACCAACCTAGGACAGCGGGTAAGAGGACTCAGCACAGGTCACAGAACACCTTGGAGACCCCTCCTCTCGAATTCCTGGAAAGTAGAGACAGCCAGGTGGCAGGTCAGGCCGCGGTGTGGCTTAACTGGAGAAGTCCTTACAACATTACTCCCCAACCCCCAACAAGTGGAATTTGTGGGTCTCTATTTTTTTCCCTTCTTTTTCTGGAAGGTTTTGTTTTTGGGTTTTTTGGTTTTTTTTTTTTTTTTTTTTTTTTGGCTGTCTTCTCCGTCATCCCTTTTCATCTTCTACTTCCCTAGAACTTACACAATGCCTCCACCCTCTCCAGGAAGTCCCAAAGCGCAGTCGAAACCCACTCCTTCCTCCTTCTGCAGCTGGCTTGGGCTGAGCTTTCAGAAGATGCCAAGGGCAGTTTCAGGAGCTCTGCGTGCCTGTATCCAGTGGCTAAGCACAACAACCCTAGCAAACAGACCGTATGACTGGGACCCTTTGCAAGTGAGGACATCAACGTACAAACAAACAGGACATCCCTCCCCCACGCACACACCCCTGAACGAGCCCAAGGTCTCGGTCTCGGAGAAGCGCCACAAATTCGCCCTTGCATCCTCATTCTGATGAGTGAACAGCTAGGCAGCTCTAACCTCCACTGCAAAGGCTTGTCTCCAGAAACAGCCAGAGCTGAAAACGGAAAAACCCCTGCGCGCGCTCTTTCCTCTTAACATTTCACGGAAAAGTTGCAGAAGAGACAGTCCCAACTGAGAGGATACGCACTGACTAACCAGATCTTAGAAATGCTTTTCGACCGACTTATTTAGGACCTACAACCCACACACGGTAAATTCGAGCCTCACTTCCTACTAAAACAGGGAGGGACAGAAAAACCGCAAGCCTACCCTAAAACAAACCCCCCAGACCCAAGCTTCCTAGAGGACCGTTCTATCTAACTCTGGTTCCCACTACCAGCCTTAGGCCAGCTCCGAACCACGCCGCTGCTTGTCCATCCGCAAAGGAAAAACCCTCGGCCAGCAGGCGCGAAGGGCGGGGATGTGGATGTTCACGGTGACCTGCTCTGCGGCTCCGAGTCCCGGCTGAGCGGACAGGGGCTCCAGTCTCCGCGATCCCTAACCCCGCCGTGCCCCTCCCCCAGCCTCCCTAAATCCCACCTCAAGTCCCACGCCCTTAGAGGAAGCGCTCGCTCTGCCAGATAGCCCGCAGGGGGATCGCCTCCTCTCTCCACCGCGCATCCGACTGGGGCTCTTCTGGGCACTGCTAGCCACGTCCTCTCCGAACACGCCCAACGCCTAGTCCCCGGGGTTGACCCCACGGGCTCTGGGCCTCTCGGGAGTTCTTCCCTAGCCTCGCCAAGCTGTTCCCGCAGATCCCTCTCTCGGGGCGGCGATCTCGTCCCCGCGCCGCCTCCTCCGGCGTCTCTCGGGCCGGGCCGGCCTCCACCCGGCGGTCCACGTGGCTCGGCAGAGCTATATTGGGTTCGCAGGAAGCCCCGAGCGAGGGGAAAGCCGAGCTGAGGCCGGCGGGAGGGGCGGAGGGGCGCCCGGGCGCCGAGGGGCGGGCGCTGGGCGGAGGAAGGGGAGGGCCGAGCGCTGAGGAGGCGGCCGCCGGGCTGGGCGCGCCGGAGTCGCGGCTGGGTCCCGGCCGGCGGGCGCAGGCGGCCCCTCCCCGGACGCCCCGCCCCCCGCTCCCGTTACACCCGGGGGAAGGTGTTCCCGAGGCCGCTCCCGTCCTCACCCCGCCTCCCGCTCCTCCGGCGCTAGCCTCCGCCGGCGGAGCCCACTATGCCAAGACACTTTCGACACTTTGCAAAGACAAAGAGCCCTAGACCGGAGGGAGCAGAGAGGAGGAGGCAGAAGAGGAGGTAGAGGAGGACCGGGAGGTGTGAGCTGCCTGGGGTAAGTATCCCGGACACATCTCCTTAGATAACCCCGCTGAACCTCTTCGGTGCCCCAAGCTGGGCAACTCCGGCGTGTCTCCGGGGTTGCTGAGTGCGCACCCATCTGGTCTCTGTCCGGGTGCCCCGGGGACGGCGCCCCTTCTCGAGTTGGGGCTCAGCAATTTCGCATGTGTTCTCTGAGTGAAGAGGCGGTCGTCCCGACTCGGGAACAGAAAGGGTGAGGAAGGGACTGGGAAGGTGTGACAGTAGACGCGGGACCTTAGACCTTAGGCGCCAAGAAGGAGCCGCAAGGAGAGAGACCCCTGTCTCCGCCGCGGCCACCGGGATAGTCTCGGGGAGGGGGTCGGGGAGGAGACGGGCTCTGGGGCTCCGGGCTCTTGGGCGCTTGCTGGAGGCGCCTCCAGGAGCTCAGCGGGGAGCCTACGGTGACCGCGGCAGCGCTTCCCGAGCGGCCGCGGTGACATTGCACCCAGCACCGCAGTGGATCCCCGCCCGGGCCGCGGGTAGGAGACTCCATCAGGCGCCGATTAGCCCGGTTCTCTAGAGAAGCCGAGGTCTCCTCGGGCTGGGACACTGTACGGACTCTTGGAGGCCTTCGGTGATTTAGACCAGAGGTGGTGGGACAATATCCGGATGGAGTCCCCCAATCCGCTGTGAGCAGGCTTAGACCGGGAAGGAGGCTGTGGGTCCCCGGGACACCTCTAATCCCGCGCCGCTCCGGATCTCGGGGAGAAGTTGGAGCTTAGGGCAGGACAACGGGATGAGGTGTGTTGGAAACTGGGTAGATTAGGGTAGACAAAGCGAGCCACGGCCGGCGGTGGCAACTCCAAACTTTGAGTCTGCCCCAACCCTGGTAAGCGCGGCAGCTGCCAAGAGATAATGTGACAAAAGTTAGCAACTTGTCTGTGTCTCTGTAGGGTGACCTGCGCAGGGCACGGCCCGCCCCTTTCATAAGTGCACGAGGGTGGGAAACGGTGAAGTGGCTAAGTCAACTTGGTTGGAGCACTGTTTGCTCGGAACCGGACCCTTGCGCAAGCAACTTTTCAGCCCGGGTTGTTTTTCAACGCTTGAGTGTTTGAGCGTGACCTTGCGGGAGGCAGCTAAGCCGAACTCCAGTTGGGGACTGAGTCGGCCGGTACCCGCTTCGTGGTACAGGTAAGACCTTGGGCGCTCCGCCTTGCCTCCCGGCGGAGTCTCGAGAAGGGTGCCCAGATCGCCCCCCCGCCCGCCGCTGTAAGCTGGCTTTTCTCCAGCCTCTTGCACAAGGGTCCCAGCCGGCTCCTACCGCCACGCAGGAATTAGTGGCGCTCGGCGAGAGGACACGTGCGCGCCGAGAAGCGCGCGAGTGGGTGGGGGCTGGGATGGCCGCGGCATCTCGGAAGCTGAGCGAGTCCCCAGGAGACACGAGTGACCCCGAGATCAGGAACCAGCTCGGCCAGCCGCCACCTTCGCCAGGCTTTCACCGTGTTTACCGATAACCCTGTCCTCTCCAGCTTACCACTGTCGCGGGTCCCCACGCCTGCACGCACTTGTGAGATGGAGCACCCACTCTCCCCTGCGGCAGGAGCGCTCCTCAGCAGAAAAACTGCTGGGAGCAGGGGACGGTCTCTGTCGGTGCTTCTAGCACATAGTAGGTGCTCACTGAAATATATAGTATGCTCACTGAAAGGTCTCGAGGATAGAAGGCCTTGGCTGGGTCGGGACTCCTCTCGTCTCATTTTTTACCATCATTACTACAGAATTTAAATTCACCCAGTGGTTTCCAGGAGAGCGCTGAGCACCTATCCTCCCTAAACCAATGTGCGCCATTCTGAAACGTGCGGGCGGTGTCCCCAGGTTTTCTTTTTCAGATGATGGCCCAGAGCGCCCCCAGGTTTGAAAAAGAGGGATGCACTGCCCCCTGCCGGCTGCGTTGGAAACAAGGGTTAGGCTAAGCTGTGCGGAAAAAGCGACGAAAGCCTCTGGGCTGGGCCCCTACGCCTCCTTGCACTTCCCCTTCCTGCCCCAAACACAAAGCCTAGTCATTTTCTGAACTTTCGCGATTGGCTGAAAAAAAACAACTGAAATTCGCCGTTCTGTGCCTCCTGCCTGTGCCTAAAATTGGATGTAGGGTGGAGACTTTTGTTTTGAGCATGTGACAGCCTCTGAGAGCCACAGTTTCCATATCTGTCAAGTGGAGCCGTTACGATGGGCTCCAAAATGACTCCTGAAGAATAGATATTATATTTAACTGTGTGTAGACGTATACTCTGAAAGCCTGCTCACGTGGACAGGAGCTAAATAAAGGAATGAAAGAATGAACTTCTTCTCTGTCCTTTCTGACATTTCCTCTTCCTGCCTTTTTTGTTGAGGTCATTCATACTGGCCAGCAGGGCCAGGGCTTAGCAGGGTCTTCCCCACACTGGTTTTGCTTTAGATGGCAATACCGGACCAGATCTGGGGCTAAAAAACAGGAAGTGTTGCTGGAAGTGACCACAGAGGTTTCTTTAAGGGTGTGAATCCCATTCTTCTGGGTTCTGCAGTGTGGAGCAGAAGCTGACTCTTTCTGAGCTATTTGTAGGTGAACTCAGTGGGTACAGCCCACCACCACTCCCACACCCCTCCTGAGGTTGGGACCTCTGAACATTGGAGCCTTGATAACCCACTCCCCCCCCCCCCCCTTTTCCCCCCCCCCCCCCCCCCCCCCCCTGCTTGGGGAAGTAGTCCATGGATGGACCTGACAGAAAAGAATGTCTTGGGATCCTGGATCCTGAGTATGACTTTGTGACAAGTGAATCTGCCTCTGTCCTCCTACCAAGCAGCCTGTCTTGTCAGGACTTTCCCCTGGAAACAAGTGTCAGGCAGACCTCCCCAGGAAGGAGCCTCCGGATGTGTGCCTTTGATACCCATCCCCCCTCAGTTGACCTAGCTGGAATTGCTGACTCAGGAGCTCATGTTTGGACAGAGCTTTACTTTGTGGAAGCTGAACCTTAACTTTTATCCCAAGCCCATCCCATTCCCCGAAGAGCAAACAAAAAAGAAAAAAAGGAAAGTCCATCAGTCAGCTTGTCCTCATACAATGGTCTCTTATCCACAGATATTTCTCAAGATCCCAGTAGATATCCAAGACCTTGTCGAATATGAAGTGCCGTGACAAAGTTCAAATTTTAAATCAAGCACAGCAAAAGGCTAACAATACGTAGCAACAAAACGGAACAGTTATAACAATATCCAGCAGTAAAAATTGCTTTGAACATACCAGTTTAAAACTTCTAGGATTTTCTATGTAATATTTTTTGGACTTCAGCAGATGGCAAGTTACTGGAAAGAGGGAAGTGAAACTACTGGCAAGGGGGACTTCTAGGGTATGTCCCTTATGGCTGCTTTGTGCATGGAGAGCTGGCCTGGTTAGCAAGAATTCTAAAATCAGACTCTCAGACCCTTTTGATTAGTTGCAGGACCCACATGGAAGCCTGAGAACCCAAGAGCTTCTCTGTTCTAATTTGGTGAGAAGAACCCAGACATGACCCCTGTGAGAGCTTGCAAGGTTCAATTGCTCTGCAACGTGGCAACCAAGATATTCTGCAGACAATCACCTGGCCTGCAGCAAAGCCTATTCATGAGGACAATCCCCAACTTCCTTTACATTTGCTTAGATTCTTCCTCAGAACTAGTCTGCTTGGGGAGACTGTAGCGTGTTACCCCAATTCACAAGATCCTCCCCTCTTGCTGACAGGGTGGCTTCCTGTGTTTCTGAGCCCTCCTTCACTTGGTCGAGTATTTACCAGCAGTTCTCAATGTTCGGTTTAAGAGATGAGGTCTGACTGCTGACAGCATATTTATAGTGACGTCTGAGGGACAACCATGTGCAGATTGAAAGAGACCAGGGTGACCTCCTTGTCCACACGCTGAAAGTGACCATAGACATTATTCTGTTCAACTTCTCAGCTTTAATGCAAAACTTTGAGCCCCAGGGGAACTGCGCCAAGAGTGATATCTTAACCCTTTGTGCACCCTCATCTCTAAGGCCACTCATATCCATTCACTCACGTCTTGTTGTTCTTATTGGAGACCCAACATCACCCGTCACTGGAAAATCTAGAGTTCACTGCTTCTCTGGTTGCATTGGTGGCAAGAGTTAGATTACTTTGATTCCATATGATCCAATGTTTATGGAGGCTTTGTTTTGCTCCCGATACTTCATAGGGTACAGGAGATACAAGAGTAGAAAAACACATGGTCCTTGAACTCTTGCTGTCCTACAGGTCTTGGTATTCTGGGGGAGATGCATGGGATGATAAAGAGCCATGCCATGTATGGTACTTACCATAACCAAAGCCACTTGTGCTGAAAGGACCACCAGATGGTGAACCTCCCCTTCCTTGAGGGGTCCACAGAAGGAATGGGGGGGTACCAAGCCTCTGGAATGTAGACTTTTCGCTGTCTGTCTGCAGTAGAACAGATTGTTTTCCTGACTGATGTCATGCAGATATCAGAAGTGTCATTCGTATGCCATGTGTATGCAAGCCTGAGATGACAGTCTGCCTTCAGCTTCTGCGCAAAGAGGTGAGGCAGCTGGAGGTGGTAGGAACTAGATGCTTCGGCCTCAGATTTCTTCACTGAGCCCTTCTCTGGGCTGTGCACGCTGAAGTGATCAGAGCCTGCAGGGCCCTCACTGCAAGCTTCTGAGAGTATGACTGTATGCCTCAGCACGATTGTGTGTGAAGCTGAGGGGCTGCCTCGGATTTGCTTTGAAGATACAGCTTAATGCTTTATTTTGAGTACTTGACTTACACACACCTCCCATTTAAATGTGAACAGCAGATTTGGGGGGGGGGTGGCATTAAGGACACAGCAGGCAGCAGTGGGGAAAAGGTTCTGGCTTTCAGGAAGGCATGGCCAGAGCCTGCCTGTGTGCATGGTTCAGGCCTTGCACCTCTGTGCTATGTGTTGGTAGGGTACCTGGGCCTCTCTGCTGGGATGTGGGGATGTGGAGAAGATGAGAATGTGAGTTCACTCCTGGAAGCTCCAGAGTCTCCAGGTTCCAGTTGAATTGAATCTATTTATGAGAGAAAGTGATTGTGTCTGGCGCGAGTCTGTTCTAAATGGTGGAATGAAGTATACGGAAGTTCTGGAAAGCTCTGGAAAGCTCATAGGAAAACTCTGTAAATAAACAGATGATTTGGAGGTAAAACAGCCGAAAGCTTCCCATGCTGCCCTGGGGAAGCCTGCATTTTTCATTCCTTTGACTTGTGTGAAACCTTTAAAAAACCCTTCTTCTCTTTGGAAGAATAAGAGTGCAAAATTACCAAGTGATCAGAACGGGGGCTGACAAGTGGCCACCAAACACTGTTGCCAGGAACAGTCGCGTGGTACAAGAACACTGTAACCTGGCTCGGAGGAGAAGGATAGCTTAAATGAAGTTTAAGGTGCCACTATGATCCCAGTGGGGAATATGATGGTTAGTTTTAAATGTCAACACCACAACTTAGAATTAAAGGGGAAGAGATCCTCAGTTGAGGGACTTCCTAGAACAAGTTGGCCTGTGGCCATTTGTTTGGAGGATTGACTGTCATTTTTTGTTCATTGATATAAGAAGACCCAAACCATGGTGGGTGGAATCATTCCCTAGGCAGAGGGTCCTGAGCTATGTGGGACTAGAGAAAACTGGATAGAAATGAGTTAGCAAGCAGCATCTGTGCATCTTGTTATCCCTGCTTAAGTTCCTGCCTGGATCTTGCCTCAGTGGTGGTCTGTAACCTGGAACTGTGGATGAAAACAAAAACAAAAAACAACAACAACAAAAATAACCCTTTCCTCCTCTGTGTTACTTTTGGTCAGGGTACCTTCTCATAGCAACAGGAATGAAACTAGAACAGGAAGACTCCATTGTCAGGATGTTTCCTAGGTCAGGGGACCAACCTGTGAAGGGAAAACTCATGCCTGGGACTTAGAACTCCTGAGTCTTGGGTTTGTCCTGGACCATGTGCTCCTGTCTAGGGACCTTCAGTTCTTACCTTTTCCTCTTTGACACTCCATGTCTTAAGTAGGAGGCAGCAAGGTAAAAAGGCTCACCCTGTCTCTCTCTCCTGGGAGGAGCCTAGGAGACAGATTTATGTAAGCATGTCTTATTCTCCCTGAGAAGGATTTCAGTAGCATCTACTTTTTTACTAAGT